CCATGCCTGTAGAATGTCTAACATATCCGCATCTAAACTGCTTACACTCCAAGGAGATCTTTGCCAGAAACCGGTCCTGACTAGACCCCAGTTATAATAATTACTTATAGAGCAACAACACCAAGTCAGGCTCTGAATGTTATTTTACATTTACTGCCAGCATAATTGTGCTGTAAACAACTGGCTGCGAAGTCTCCTTTTAGACTAAAGTCCCGATTAGCTTTCTTTAATAAGGGCACTCTGTAATGCTTAGTAAGTTCTCTTTTTTACCCCACAACACGGATTTACGAAATCCTTTAGAATTAAACTTAAATCATTCATCCCCAATATTACCTAACCTTTCAGAGAAAAGTGGAAACGGCGGTCAGGGTCGCAAGAATAACATCTATATGTACTGGTCTAAACTAGATAATCAAGTGGGAGATAATGTCTTTTCGGCAAAGTTAGATACCAAAAGCGCCTTCCATTTACCAGAGCGCAGTGACAATAAACATAAAGCAGTGGTGCATTCCTCGTTTATTAATCTATCAGACCGCAATATCTTTCCAACGGAGATTACAGCAATTAAGGTAAGCCTTTCTATATATGGTACAGATAGCCAAGCGACTTTATAATCACTAAAATCTCTTAGGGTTCCGTCAAAGATGGTAAATGCACGCCTGAATCTCTTATTAGACCTACCATTCTGTTTCAATGTATACCAGCAATGGATTCCAGGACATAGTGATATTCCTGGTAACTGTGAAGTGAATGAACGAACCAGAGCAGGCACCATAGTACAATTAGACCACGTAAAAGAAGAATTTACATGTCTCTGGTACCAAGTAGATATTTAATCGACAAACAAGTCAGAAGAATAATGGAGTTTCGGTTTAGATAATCCCTAACTTGTTCAATAAGAAGGGAAACGTGGCATTAATGAAATATGATACGCACATGCCGAATATGAAAATTCAAAAGGAATGACATAGGAGCTTTAGTAGGAGTGCTAACAGATCTACAGTATAAGCAGTCAGGCTTTAGAAGAGGAGGAGACTATAAAACATCAACTATGCGAATGTTAGGCTTTGTAACTAAATTCTTCATAAATAATTGCTCAAGCAAGTATGACCAAATCATTAGGTCCTAAGAATAGCATAACGCTCATTAAAATGAAATCAAAATAAAAAGAGTTCCTACATGACGGAAAGAAAAATATTTATACTCACAAAATATCTATGATAAATAGATTCACATGAATAGTTTTTAGTAAATAATCTCTGTTTTGAAACAATGAATCATAGAAAATTCTAATATGACATGTTCAAACTCATTCCCATATTTATGTATTCAAAAATCATACATACAAATATATGCTACACCAACCTTTGTACTTTTAAGTAAAATCACACATTCACTGGAGACACCCACTTGCGCATTAATCAAACTATTCGAGACAGATAAAAGAAACCATACTTCAACTCCACTACTCTTTGTAGTACATACAGTACTTATTGTACTTAGTCAAATAAGTAATTAAATTCAAATTTCAAATTACGCATTCTCAATCGAAGAACATTGATTGATTAATTAGAAGTTTGTTGAGCGCTCAAACACGCCCCGAAATTCTTTGCTTAATTTAAGCTACAATTAAAAGTCAACTTTACAAAAAATTACAAAACATCGGCGACGGTAAGGGAAGGAACGATTATGTATAGTTTTGAATATGTGGAGAGTGAGTAAGCAATTGTGTATGGAAAAGTGTGTATCTATTTATAATTACAAAAAATATTTATTTATACAAATTATCGCGAATATCTTTTTTATTGCTGTAATTACTATTAATCGGCACTCAATGAAGACTATGAGCGGCCATCAATCATGGATGTGCTTGAACGTTTGAGTCTTGTGTTGAGAATGTTGTTTTGCTCATTGGAGCTTGTAATGCAAATTTAAGGTTATTACAGTGCAATGACTCAATGTTCATGATTCAATTTTTATTTGAATAAAACAAATCTGCAATTCTGCGAACATAAAAACGTACCCTCGTAAATAGTAGTTAAGTAATAATTAAACACAGAATATTGCTTTCACATAATGTTTGTTGCTGGAAAGCATTAATTCACCTTGTACTTGAAATCACAATTAGCATAGATGTATTTATAGTTACACAATAATCAATTGACATTGACATTTACACGTGAATATACGTTTTTATATTTCCTATTCTATAATTTTTGCATTTGAATAGAATAAGTATGAACTCTTCTTGCCTCATTAAATATAAAAATATTCCAATAGAGATACACTAGCAGAAGTAAAGGTTTAGAGATGCCTCCTCCAAAGAGCACTTGGAACAAACGGGATTTCCAAATGTAAGACTACTCTAAACAAATCCAAAGATATTAAGAAAAATTCCCCTAAACCCCTATAGTAAACACATTTTTTTGGCAAAACTAGTTTCTTTTATTCAACGTAGTCTACTTCAAAGGTGGCATACAAAATATAGCATTAATTATTCAAGCTAATCAAAAACATTATTCCATTGGCATCCCAAATCATAACTAACCCGACTGTAGCATTTTTCCACGCTTTGGGGCTGTTTCATCATACACAGTTAATTCGGATGTCTGCCGATTGGACTTCGGAGTAAAATGACGCTCTGGTCGTCCTATCGTTGAAAAATTCGAAGAAATTATGGAAAAGATTGACCAGGACCGTCACATTAGCAGCCATGACATCGCTAAGGAGCTTAATATTCATCACCAAATGACTTTGAACCATTTTAAAAACACTGACTACCGAAAGAAGCTCTATGTTTGGGTACCACATGAATTTTCTGTGAAAAATTTAATGGACTGAATTAATATCTGCAATATTTTGCTGAAACGAAATGAAATCGAACTATTCTGAAGGGAATGGTAGTAGGAGACGAAAAGTGGATCAAACACGACAATAATGTGCCGAATATATCATGGTCCAAGCTCCAAGAAAAGTTTTACACTGATGGAATAACGTCTCCATCGGAAAAATGTCAAAAAGTGGTCCACAAAAATGGTACATATTTGGTTCATTAAAGTTCACTATAAATAAATAAAAATAAGTTGGAGTTTGATTAGAATTACGATAAGACTTTTTCGACTGACTTCTTAACTTTGTTAAGGTTCTAGAAATGTTGTGATCGGATCCCGTGAGAAAAAATATTTTCTGCAAAGCACGGTTTTCCGTAATCGAGTAATCATGTGATAAATAATGCTGCATTATTTTCTTTAATTGAAGTTGGCAACCTTGTTTCTTGTCCGCGGTATGCATAATCGGCTTTGGAGCGCGTAGCAAATACACTACTGCTGCTGATGAAGTCGACCGAAGATTGTTTTCTCCCCAAGCACATTCCTATTTATTTCTTTATTTAATTCATTAATTCGACACCGTCTCAATTAGGTAATTCAGCGAAATATAAACTTCCGTCTGGTGAGTTGAACATTGCACGCAAAAAAATAATAATAACAACTATTTATAGTAAGAACAGGCATATGTCTGCACACATAGTATGGGAGTAGTACTTATATATACAAAGTATATATGTACATATATACATATGTGTGCACTTAAATAACTTTCAGCAAGTGAGACATTAATCACTACTGTTATTTTATGCTGAGAAATGCTAAGAATGATTTATTTTTAGATGCTTTTCTATGTTTCACTTTGCTACTTTTTCCCCTTTTGGCTTTGTATTCTTAGCAAATTAGTTACGCACAAAAAAGTCATTCACTTTTGTAGAAAATGTGTTAAGGTTGAAATCTTTTTAGTAATAAAGTACGGAATTAAGCAGCAAATAGGCGAAAATTTAATGAATGGCGAAGAAGTTGAATAACAGAGATAGAAAAGAAGTGAAAGAAAAGAAACACAGTTTTAGCTTTCAAAAATATTCATACGAATTTAATAAATAGTAAATATGAACATAAAAGTATAATAATATTTTTAGCAATAGTATTATATTTCGTTCTGTTTCTAACATCAAAATGATGAATCTTAATTTTACTTTTTTATTTTTTGTCATTGTTCGCTATTTATTTATTTTAAAATTATATATGTACATTACAATTAAATTCTTTTTTTTTTGGTCATTCATTATTATTTTAAGCGCACAAAAAGTCAGTAAAATAATTCTCTAGCATTGAAGCTCAATTTAATTTATAAAGAGAACAACTCTCTAAGCAAATTCATTAGTCAGGTGCGAACATCTTTAATAATAGGGTGTAATTAGGTAAGCATAAATATAAATACATAGAAAGAGAAACATTAAATATGACATACAATGATATTTTAAACAAATATACACACTCAATTACTACATATACATATTCTAGTAAAAATATAAGGAATACTTCAAGAATTACGAAGCACAAACAGAGTTGCGTGGTACTTTTTGAATACTTAGTTTTTGTTTTTATATTCAATATTTCACTGATTCATTAAATCGCGAAAACAACTTTTCATAAACATAATTACCTACCTGAAGTGGAAAAGACTTTGGTTTACTGTGAATTCCCCAAATTATTGCCTAAATTATTTGCGTCAAAGGCAAAAACATTGGTATTGGAATTGATCTTGATGCCAATCATATGCGGATGTTGGTGTCCCGATATCCTTTTATTAATTCCAATACCAATGCTTTTGCCTTTGACGCAAATAATTTAGTATAATGATAGTCCCGATGTTGAAGACATATCGATATCGATCCGATATTCCTATACCGATTCCCATCCATTAAGCTATGCTCATGTATTATTATTTTGACTATACTTTTATGTTTAATAAAATGAGAACGTAGTCTACAGATTAGTCCAAACTTATTGAATTCAAATGTTTGCTATTTCAAATAATTTGACTTTATTCTGGCACTTTTTAAAATGACATATTAAACATACATATGTATATAGATTTTTAAGTACATTAAGTTACTATTTATAAATACTATCCTTTAAAATCATAAATAATACTAAACTAAAATTAATTATACAATTTACTCATAAAAATAAATACCAAGTTGGGTGTAGCACTTCAAAATAAAAAACTACCTGCTTTATCTAAGCAATAAAATCATGAATCCACACTCATCATCTGTTTTGAACAGCGCTGCAAATCTACTATCATTACTTAGACTTAATTATATATTTATGCTATGCTAAGTATGTTTAACACACCTTCAGCTCCACTCAACTCTCCAAACGCTGCGCCTGCTCCAAAGGCGTCACTTTGCTTTTTGCCAAATATTTCAGAAATTCGGTTGGCGTGCGAAAACCCTTAATTGGATACTTACCAAAGCGTCCATTAGTTTTCGAAACCACATAGTAAACGGGGTAGGCGCCAGGTGCCACACGCACATTCATAGTTTTGCTCACTTTATGCCCATCTAAGGCCTCTTGATTGTAGAGGAAATGCAGATTCTTCTTTTGATTGCGACTCGGTTTACGGAATTTCGGTTCGGTAAGTTGACGGATGATCGGTGAATCGGCAACCTTGCTGTCAGTGGCGGCCTTAACATCCTTAGGACGCGTCTTCTTGCCACGCATACGATTCGAGTTCACGTAGTTGCGATTTGCTGGCAGTAAACTCTGTATTTTGTACAATGATGAGTCCTCGCTACCGCTGGAATCTTCGGTTAGCGCTGGCAAATCGAGTGGATTGACGCGTATCACTTTTTGTGTTGTATTCGCGACATCGGGTATGACATCCTCGGTGATGACGACAAACTTGGCGGGCTCTTTGGTTGGTTTGACGGGCGCTGTGTCGTCTAGCGTGTAAATGGAGCCGGCCAGTGCGGAGTCCAGCACGAAAACGCTGAGTAACAGCGACAAGTGCTGCAAAGTGAGCAATTGCGTTGTTTGTTAAATATTTTATTGTATTATTTATTATTTGGTATGTCTAACACAGCATTAATACTTCAATATTTTTTATATTCTGTAAGCACATTTTTTATAAGCTTTCTTAATTTTTGTTTGACCTTTGGTCTTTGAATTAAAGCACACACACTTTTTTTCGCAAATCATCTCTCTCTCTCCCTCTCTCTCTATTAACACTTACCAGCAGCGCAATTTGACAGCGTTTCGTGTTCATTGTCCGTCTGCTATCGAATAACTTCACCACAACACGCTTATTAAACGCTCCACTTGCAATTTTCGATTTTTGCTTCCACAAACACTTAAATTAAGTGCGTATGTTTAATGCCGCGAACTTCCACGAACTGTAAAAATGTCGTTTGCGTCTGCTATAAAAATTTCTTTTCCGATATTTGTTGCTGTCAGCGCTGATTGCTGGCGATGCGATTGGTTCGGTTGCTTCCTACGACCAAAGTGAAATGTTGTCGACTGATCGGCTTGTAAGGCTTTGTGTTAAGTTTTATGTCGCCTTCGACAGCGCCAGCGCCAGCGCCTTAGCTACCGTCTCCAGTCTACGGCGTGTCGGTTGCAAAGTACCACACAGCGCAGCTTCCAGAGAATTGGCTTCGCTTTATGCGATTGTGTGGTGTGGCGATGACAAATACTCCACCGATTGCTAGTGTATCTGAGCTTTGGCTTCTTGCTTATTGTTGTTGTCATTCATATTTATAATCTTTTTTTTTTTCTTTTTTTTTTTTTTTTTTTTTTTTTTTTTTTTTTTTTTTTTTTTTTTTTTTTTTTTTTTTTTTTGCACGAGAATAATCTTTTACGTTTCCCTCGCTTTGTAGTTGTGAAACGCAAAAAGCACCCAAGTGAAAAAAAATCGCTTAGCAAAATGAAAAACAATAATCATCACGGGCAGAGATACAATCTTTTGCGTTGCTCACTTTATTTAATTTCATATTATTCTTATTTTGTTTATTTGAATTGGCAGAGACATTCCAAAATATTCTTAACCCCCATCGGTGGTACAGTGTGTCAGGAGGAGAAAAAAGGAGGAAGAGAAAAAAAAAACTCTTAAAAACAAAAAAATGTTACAGTTAATAGAGCCTAATCCATAATAACTCTTCACAGGTTCATATTTTATATTATACAAGGGTAGAAACAGATCTTTATATTGTTTTTTATTGATTATTTTGTATGACAGATATATGCTATAGTGATCCGATCTGAAAAAATAAATTCAAAAAATATTGAGTTGCTTTGAACAAATTTCAGAAAGATATCATCTCATATAAAAAAAGCTCTGCACACAAAGGCTTGAGTTTCCCATAATGATCCGATATCTGCGAATTTGGGTAAATGGTTTTTGAATAGAAAACAACGAATGCGAACCGATTCTTCGGTCATCAAATGGAATTAAATCGTACATTTTAACACTATTATTCTTTTTAAATTTCGGTGGGGTTTAACTCAGCCACAATACATCGATGAGCTTAATTCAACTTTTTACGATGAAACTCTATCAAACTCTAATGTTTAACGTTGGTATGGAGAATTCAATCAAAGCCATAGATCACTCTAAGACGAATATCGTGAAGGTCGCCCGAAATTGGTTATTGCTTGAAACTATTGCAAGATGGTCATGTGTCGTCTCATTAGTTTGAGACAACTATAGGCATCAGATCAACACACATTCAATATTGCATGAATATTTGAGTGTAAAAAAGTTTATTCACATTGGATTCCACAAAATTTGTCAATCTATAAAAAAAAGGACCGTGTCGATTGTTCGAGAGAAATACTAAAAAACTAATGAATGGGAGTTTCCAGATTAACCGAGTCTAAAAAATGTTGTTCGCTCACGAAACAGTATATATATATCGTTATTCATATATCATATGCGAATATATTTGAAAATGTTCGCCGAAAATGTGAAGTATATCCAGGAAATAGTTTCGGAGACACATTCGTTTGGAAAATTGTTTAAATTGTATCGATCTCAAACCGGTCAACCCGTTTTTTCTCGAAACAGTGTTGGTGTCAGTGAGAAAAGTTTCTCCGAAGCGACTGGACCGATCGACTTTTTTTTGACGAAAGAGAAATTTTTTGGGAGCTGCCCAATTGTCAAAAACCAAATTTTATCAGAAAATGTTTAGAAGGAAAATTTTTTTCGTAATTTCGATTTTTCAAGACACTCTGAAAGAAACAGAACTTTTTTGACAAGCCGTCAAATCGTCGAAAATTTTAATTTTTACTATTCCTTTGATCATTACCTCTATTTATATATCTTAATATTTTTTAAAGTTATTTTAACCTGAAAAATCTTTCACTGAGCCAGACCGCATTTAGTGAATATTCTCCCGGAGAGCCGCTGCATTATCATAGGAAGCCACTATTATTCAAAATGGTTTAATGATTTATAAAGTGTATTAAATTTCAAAAAAAAAAATTAATTAAATTTATTATTAGATAAAAAAAAGCTCTCCAAAAAAGTATAAAAAACAAACTTAGTATTTCTAACTTCCAAGTGACTTCTTAAACTCAAACAACAATATTTTTTCTGATGTAATTGCTCCACCGTGCACGATCAGTTACATTAAGAACGCAGAACGAATGATGAAAACAAATAAAAGCAAATAGTAGACACTGCTTTTAAGAATTCTATGCAAAATACACACACACACACAGAGATTATAATTCTGAAGCGGAGCTGGAGATGACGTTCGCTACGGTGTCTGTGACGGCTACGTTATGCTTGTCGCTTCAAAAAATTTCATTTGCCGTTTATTGTGAGTAACACTTTATTGTTGCTGTTGCTGTTGCTGTTGTTGTTTCTGTTGTCGTTATACTCGTTATTGTGGTCGTAAACTTAAAATTGATTATTACGAGTATTCGAATTGTAACCACGCTTGCCACTTGTACACTTTTGAATGCTGAAAATTGAGTTTTGAACACGAAGTAGCTGAATTTGCCAATTGTTTGAGCTCCAAACTTTTATTTCTTATTTTCAAGCTCCCGAATCTCGTTTGCAATTATTCGCTTGTTTATTTTGCTTATAAAAGTAAATAAACATAAACGTCGGTTACCTCAGCGAGTTTTAATTGGATTGCATATTTTAATTCTACACTAAATTATAATTACCAACACACGCACCCACACACACAAACATATAAAGGTGTACGTCGCAAATGAGCACAGCCAAAACTCTTCAAAACTCCTCAGCAATGTGCTCATAAGCACGCAAGTGCCGGCTTGAAAAGTCTCCCAAGCCAAGCTAATAATTTCGAACCGAACATTTGTGACATTCTGAATGAAAAGCAACGAAATGCGCGCCAATTTTAGGCCATCAGCGTAATGCAATCAATGATCTAGCTTTTCTGTAAAAATCCACCGCAGTTTAAGCCGCTTTGTGGTTTGGGCGGGAGATTCGTCTGCAAGAGATATACCTAGACATGTTTATAGAATAAATACTTATGTATATACTGAAGTATGTAGGTTGGCAGCATCTAAACTGCTGCGCTCACTTCAGCAACAAAAGTGGGAAATCTTGGAAATAATCAAATATTTGAAAATTACAACTTCGAGTATACATAAGAATATATTTATAAATATATATGTTCAGAAATACTTAAGATAAAAGTTAATAATTGCTAATTGTTTTACTTTTTTATTTGCCTCTTAATTATGTTCTCTCATATGCTCGTGAGTGCGCTGAGATTCGAATCTGCAGTTGCCGGCAACTGACGCAGCACGCTGCCATGTATTTATGATTAATATATGTAATTTGTTAATGATTTTGGAAACCGCTGTGTGTGGGTACTTATTTGCGCGTACAAGGTGTATATGTACATATGTATGTATATTATATCTATATAGGTATATTCTATAATATATTATATTTACTTGTATGGTATACCTAATTATTTTCTTTGGGTATTTTGTTAGGCATTCATTGCTGCTATTTTAAACTTTTTACTTTGGTACCAATAAGTCTTGGACCATAAGCCGCCTAAATATTACTTATAGAACAACTCCGTAAAGAAAACAATTCATTTCATTTTTTTATCATTGCCGCAATTAGCATTTGAATCCCGGGTTATAAGTTAGTTGCGCTTCCCATGGATTGCCGAGCATAATGAAAAAAGACATTACTTATACTGTTGTACAAAAACAGACATGAACTCTCTGAAAATATTTAGATAGATTACAGATAGATACAGGCTGATATTCGTAAAGGCATGAATAATCCCACTTAAACAGCTAAAGACGCCCTTTCGTTGTGATGCCCAGAACTTATGGGTATGGAACTTCGCATATTGACTTATCGACTATTAATTTTTAACTTGCGGCTAATATCAAGTCTAGTTAATTTTAAAGGTTCATAGAAGGTATGATAACCGAGATGCTTCCATTTTAGTCCAATGAAAGCTAGACAGTAGAGAGAAAGTGTCGAGATATTTCCACCTCAACTTCCTCCTTGCAACTTTGACAAGTTGCGTGCTCGCAAATCTTTAGCCTCACTGAACGAGTAACAATAGAACAGTTTGCATTTAGAGCAATTGTCATTGCGCCGAAGTGAATCTTGCTAAGTGCAAGTAGTTCCTCTTGCATTCTACGATGTGCTTAAAAAATTTCAGAAGTACACAAGTGCTGGTATATGACCAGTTTCCTGTGATTCTGCTGGCTCAGACAAATTTAATATGGCAGTAGATTATTTCTACTACCTTTAAGCTCATTGTCAGCAAGCTCAGGGCCTGAAAAAAGCTGCATTTCGATGCATTATTTCTGATGTTAACTTGATGGCCTTCAATTTAGCTTTGAGCTTCGATCCATTGGAGGTCTTTTCCAACAACTCGGAAAAACAAACGGAGAAATTTTCACTGGTCTATAAAAATTGTGCAGCAATCTTATAGAATTCTAAGGCTTAGTAAATAGTTTCTGCAAATGCGATGAAATTAAACTTATATTTCCAGAAAATACACAAGAGCTAGATCTGATAAGAGTAATGTTCTTCCAACAAAATATCTTTGACTATGTTACTATGTTCATTGAAGAAAATCCGTCCAGTTCTAAAGGGTGATCTATTTCAAGGTTCCTTACTCTGTTTTAGAGAAAAGCACAGAAACTTCAAATTTAATGTGCAATGTTTATTATCATTCTAAAAAATTATCTCTTTCAAATGTTGGCCGTGGTTATGTCTCAGATGTTCCATCCATTGAGTCTAATTTTCATGACTCAAGCATTTCGACTGGCAAATGACACGCTTGATTTTTTGCTTCAAAGCCTGAATCGAAGCGGGCATGGACTTTAGACTTCAAATATTCCCACAGGAAAATAATCTAAAAGTATGATATCACATGATCTTGGTATCCAATCTACCAGCCCAAAACGTGATCTGCTCACCGAAGTGTTTCTCAATTAGTCGATAGATTGGTGCGATATGTGGGAAGTGGCCGAATCGACTCTCCACTGTCAGCTACGGCTGGATGCGGTCTATTTGATCGAATATTATTCAGTAATGAAAGCTGCGTCTCAAGAAGGGTGATGGTGTTGCGAATAGTACGCTCAATAAGCCGAATATGTTGATCATAAGTTGGGCGAA